AAATTAGGTCGGATAAGGGACCGTATTGTTGTGTTAAATTATTTATGTTTCATTGGAGAAAGTGCAAGATGCACAGATGGGTAATCATTTAGTTTAATTCATATTTACCATTGGGGTTACAGTATAAGTGCTAAGCTGTGATACGTTTTGCATGTACCTGTATGGGTATATAGTATGGATTAGCTTAATTTGTATACTACATAATATTGTAGTGCTGGAAAGGGGGTCCAGGTCTTTATGTAATTTAAAAGTTATCATTTAAGAGCGTTTATGATGTTATTTGTGGAAAGAATTCATTAATAAGCAACTAGGATGTAATAGCCTTAAAGAATAGATAAGGTTCATGTTCGGAATAGTATACATGATTCAAGTTATGCTAGTAGAAGAAAAAATTACTCTGATATAAACAGGTTAATGCATCCATTTGAGTTTATTACAGACATGCTCCAAGCAGAATACAATAGATAACATATATTGTTGTTCATTGCTTTGAACATACAAAAAGTCTTTGTTCTAATTAGAGCATGTTATTTATGACGAAGATTTGTTATCTTTTCTTTTAGTGAACCGCTACAAGACTACGCTACAGATCCAAAGTTGTCATTTGTAATGACACAAGTTGGATTGATCATTGAATAAAGATCCGAAGAAAAGAAACTGACCTATTGTGAGTCATTTGTCGTTAGGCGCGTTTACACTAAAAATGAAGTCCATATATCGTACATATGCTAATTAGCTCATTATGCTATTTAAGACAATTGCATTAATTTAAAATAAATACTGGTGTCATAAATGAATTCCTTGTCATGGAAAATCCTTGAAATGTCACAGTATCTACGTTTCAGGCTTCCTGGACTAAGATTAGCAACATTGGTAAATATTGCACGTAATGCTAATTAGATGATTATATGCTAATTAGGCTAATTATACTACATATACATGAAATATCTTCTTATGAATTAATGATTAGTCTTTCTGTGTTAGTGATTTACCTTGTTGCATTGTAGGCCCTATAGATAAACAATGACAAATGAAGTTGCGAGCAAACCACTGCAATGGTGCCATGAGCGTGAGTGCACACTTTTGGTAGTGTGCTGTGTGTTTTGCACGCGCTATTCATAGAACCATCGCGTTAATCAGATTATCTCAATATAAACTTGGCACTGAGGGATTTGGGGCTTGACACAATGGGGATAAGCCCTGTGGCATGATAAGAGTTAAGAAAATTGCATTACTTGGAATGAAAAACCGGTGTCATAAATGAATTCCTCGTCATAGAAAACCCTTGGAAAGTCGTATTATCCATGTTTTGGGGCTTCCTAGATTGAGATAAGTAACATTATTACATATTTCACATATGCTAGTTAGATGATTATGCTAATATGATTATTAAAAAAGTTTTCCAAGGTTGCAAAGCTGGCAACCATGCTGAACTTACTTCAATATCCATCTAGAACACAAAATAATCAACTAAACAACCTTGTACTTTTCCAGGTCATTACATGGTATATGGTATCGTCTACTGGACTAAAACCCTTAAATTTCTAGGGACTCGGCCCGCTGGATCCCAAGCCAATTAGTGACCTAGTGTCACAAATACGCTCATCTGACAGTTGCTCATCTGACAGTTGTTAAATGCCTATAGGCCTAACCCCTGAGCATGCAAGGGTTCCTCCCATGGTCCCCACTAGGGGCCCAAAGGCGGCCCGTGGATGCTCATATGGCCGTGATTTAATGTTAAAACCCCTGAGCCGTGTCGATGTGCTATATTAGTGCCCTTTTATGAGGCATCAATCCTCATTACTGTCAGTTATGGCTTAAGGACGTAGGTCCCCCAATTGTATGCTTTTGCAATCACGCAAATCAAACACTCACAAATTATTATTCAATAAAATCTGAGAATGTATACTATTAGCTAGATCTATTAGGAATAAATCATTGTCAAAATCATTCCATAAATTGGGGTCAAAAAAATTATTCCACCATTATTACCAAAAGTGTATTTCCATTATAATTATATTCCTTGTGAGCATTATAATATTTGTTTGTTTACTCTGGAGACAATTTCTGTCAGGACAATACGATGAACAACTTAATGATGTTAAAAGTTACTCATTAATTTGGTAAGGCTGAATGTAACCTTGTGGGACAATTCACCTACTAAAACGAGTTTATTTCTATTTTTCGAAGGTAAATAATTTCGAAGATAAGTAATTTCAAAGGTTTTCGAATCCGAAGGTTGTTTAACCAGAAAGATTCTTAATTCCAACAGTTCATAATTCCGATAGTTTAATATTCCGAATTTCCGTCAATTCCTAGGTTCATATTGATAATTTTGAAGATGAAATAGGTTTCTTACTTCCGAAAAGAAGAGAGAATTTTAATTTTCACGATTGCAAAACTGGTTCAAAGTATAATGAACCCTATTTCATTCTGATAGTACGAATGAACGAACCTTTGAAAGTACCAACCTGCGGGAGAAAACGATGCAGTCAATCATTCTACCAAAGCGAGAGCATTCAAGTGTGACGCGTTATTGGTATGTTATTAACCAGGACGAGTATTGTGATGAGGCTCGATATCAATTTGTCTGATTGTTTCCATGACAACTTTAACAACAACAAATGGTCGATGCTATAAATATCTATCTCTTAATGCTATTCCCAGATTTTCGGTCATGTTTCTAAGGTAACGTGTGTTTTCCCCAAACAAACAAAATACAACTCCATCCCTCAGACTAACATTGGCGCTGAAAGGTTTTCCAATGAAGCTGACTCATAATGTGCTATTCACTTTTAGCATGTTTTATAGGGCTTGCAACGAACACTCACGTATCACGTGTCACGTTCACGTTTTGCGAAATTTCAAAATTGCAAGCGCTTGTTACTTAGACAAGTCATGAGGTCACCGTGTCATGTATGATTTGTATGTACATACGTACGTTTCGCTTGCGCCTAACTAGCTGACGCGTCGCGACGATATCATCGAGGACGAGGCCGGCACAGTTCGACGACGTGGCGATCGAGGCTAGCCAGCGCTCAGCGAGCCGCAGATTATCGATGATACAAAGTGAGAATGTAAGTTTACTTTGGGATGATTATAAGTATAATTTACTAAGCATTGAGGAAAATCTCGGAAAATTATGTCATTTCAGCAACATTTGTAAATCACCGGTATCGAATTAGAAATAAGCCACGTTTGAATTAAATTGGGGGAGGGGGGGGGGTTCTGTCACCCCTCCCCCTCCCAAGCCCCCTCCCCCCCCCCATCAGTACTCCAGTGGCCCCCCCCCCCGATCTACACCTTGTTGGCGGGAAAATCGTAACTGATCTTCTCTATCTTTCTTCTTTCTCTTCTTTTCTTCCCCTTTCGGCCCCCGATCCACACGTTGTTGGCGGGATTAATCGCAACTGTTCCCCCTTCTTTTCAACCATTTTCGATCATTGCACCGTACAAGATAGTTAATTTTTATATTTTTTACAATTTATTGTACATTATATATTTGTTTACATGTTATTTTAGTACAAGAAGTAATGGTAGTAGTATTTGTTTCATCCATTTACTGAATTAGTCGAGCATACATATACGCAGTGTAAACTACAGAGTTACACAACAGATTCTGGTCTGAAGCAGCTTTTTTTTGCCATTAGTCTCTTCTCAATGACAATTTGCATTATTTTTGTTAAACGCCAGCGTCAATTTACGTGAGCTTTCGTAGATTGCATATAGCAAATTAACAAATTGTTGGGTCACGAAACCCAACACTTCGTAGATTTGGGTGACCTGTTTCACGAAAGGGCGCAAGACATGAACGTGAACGTGATATGTGAGTGTTCGTAGCAAGCCGTTTTTATAGCGTAACATGTATTTCACAAAGAAAGTTATGTACGTTCCAATCCTCAAAACAAGTTCATCGACGTGAATATCTATCTAACAGAGCTATCCTTTAATTTAAATCCAAATTTTGAGGAGATAACATGCGCTTTCTCAAATAAAAGCAAAAGCAAATTAACAACGTATATGATTTGGGCTATTAGCTATCTTAAAGGGAAAGTCCACCCCCAAAATAAGTTTGTTTCGATAGAGGCAGAATAATAAGAAAATTAGGTGAGTGAAAGTTTGAGCAAATTCTGAATGAAAATAAGAAAGTTATGAATTATTGAAGTTGTGATCAATCAAATACAAATTGGCAACTCTGTGACTTATTATACGAGCTCTCCTTCATTTGCTTTGTGCATAATATTCCATAAAATCATGTTTTCTTCGTTATTGATGACGGAAAATATATTTGTTCCTTGCAGGGGGAGTATAGAAACATATTTGCAATTATTATATTTAGGGTGCATGTATGGTTGAAATTTTTCTTGAGGGAAAATGAAAATTTCAGATTTTTTTAGTACTGAGCAAATGGAAGTTGAGCTCGCATGATACGTCATAGAGTTGCCAATTTGTGTTTGATTGATCACAACTTCAAAAATCCTAACTTCCTTATTTTTAATCGGAATTTGCTCAAACTTTCACTGACTTGTTTCTCTCATTTTTCTACTCCTATTAAAACTAACTTAATTTCAGGGTGGACTTTCCCTTTAAGGAGCTATCCCCTATTTCGATCCAAAGGTATAATATTTCTGAGATAGCGTTCGTTTTCTCAAGCAATAGCATAGTACTCAAACAAGAAACAACAATCATCTGCGCCAATAGCTACCCCACAATTTTTTTTCACTGCACAACATGTTGCTAAGGTAACGAGTGCCTTTTAAACAAAAACAAAAACAAATCATCATAATTAGCTACATGTGCAACCCTTGCAGAGCTATCCCATAATTGCAATCCACCAATCATCATCAGTCGTCAGCATTTCCTTTATAATCTATCTGTTCATATCGATCCCATTCTCATACGAGTTTAGCGCCTGCAGATAAGGCAAACGTACCATTTACCATTTACAATTGGTCGAAGATAGATATCAAGTCATATGTCTCCTGCGATTTCAATTGATCTCTTTTGATCGATCGTTTTAGCCTACAGTTTGGATCTTACTCTTCATCTTTTCCGCCTTCTGCATTCAAGCAACTGTATTCTTCGGTGCCAAATTTGTTCTTTTTTTTCGAGAAAGACGTCAGGTGATCATCGTGCTCTTTTTTAAATGTTTGAAAGCCCTTGAAGATTGATGTGTAAAATGGTGAGTGTCTTAAGTTTTTTAATCATAGTGTAATGGCCACCATGAGTCTGATTTGATTTAATTGCCATTTCACCTGTCGTCTATTTCAACATAAGCATGTACACTGTAATAAATGTGTACAAAAAACAAGAACAAGAGAATAGAACTAGACATTTAATATTTGTTTGGAACAAGTATAGGTGGGCTGTTTCAACTAAAATGTGAGTGAAAAAAGAACAACAAAAAACGAGATACTGCCAAAAACAACAATTTTTTATGTAGATTCATGATGTGAACGAAATTCCCCTTCCATAGGCATAACACGCTAATTAAGAAATTTCTGATATGTGGCCTTGAATCGAAATGTTCACTAAGATGACGTCATCAAAATGAAAAATAGTAATGATTGAGCTTGTAGGGAACTGTCTCAGCTAAAACATATCGAAATTTGAAAGAGAATTCATCAATATTTACAGAGATACAATCAATTTTCCATCGATGTCGTAATATGCAAATTCAAATTTTGAGCTCGAAGGCCAGTATGGTGACGTCGAAATATTTGTAATGGCCAAATATGACATGAAATCATATCTCAGGATCATACTCTATCCAAATAGGAAAACAAAATTGGGGTCCAGTTGCATCCCAAAGAGCTATAATGGATTTCGTACAAGCATGTTTTTTGCCAATATATGCTATTATTACATGAACTCACGCGCACGGACATTTATCTGAAACGGAAGCTCAGTCCGTTATTAGTAGTCATAAAGATATAAACATGGTATTATTTATTTATTTATTTATTTGTTGTTTATTTTGGTTCAAAAAGACATATAAATATAAATGATTCAAAGGTCCAAGGACCAAAACTGATCATGTTCCGTTCGCAATTTCGTTCGTAGTACGTCCATTTCGTTTCAAGTACGTTGTTACTCCATCTAATCGCAGTACGGGGATAATTTTGAACAGGCGCAAAGTTCTGGAGCAACTTTCCCATCCAGGCGCAAAGTTCTGGAGCAACTTTCCCATCCAAGCCAGCCAGTTCTTAAACAGATCGAAAACAGTTGGTACTACATTCAACTTCGTTCGCACACAGTTTGAGCCCATTTGGCAACATTTTACAAAACGTAGTGAGAACTATTTTGGTGTAATGGGGGGCTTCACTTGAATGTCTCGATCTGCAGAGCTTGAAGCATTGAAGTTGAACGGGAATAAGGAATGGTAAGAACGAGCCGGGGCTTTATAACCCTTGAGCCAGGACGCAGGCACGTAGCCAAGGGGGGGGGGGGAATTTCTAAGATCGGTTGAACTTTTTAGACCCATTTTTTTTTACCTCGATCGATTACATGTAGGTGCCCCCCCCCCCCCCCCAAACATCGAACTCTGGCTACGTTCGAACGCACTAAATCGAGATGAGGACGAGCTGATCTGTCTCCGAACTAGTTAGAATTGATTCGGTTGTATTGGGAACGTGGTAGAACTAGTTAATAACGGGTTTAAACTGAACACGGACTGGCTTGGACTGCCTGGAAATGGCAAATTTACCTAATCTGAACTTGATATGAACTGACTGTGGGCGGGGCACAGACGAAATGGACGTTTTGAGGACTTTTTGTAAACGAACTAGGATCGTATTATAGACATTATTTACACGTTCTACCCCGACCATAACCTGTTTTTAAGATTTTCTAGGACGGTTCCAGCACGTAGTGAGATCTAGTTGGTGTGATGGGGACTTAACGAATAATATCTGTGTGGTTCAATTTAAAAGAAATATAACTGTACACTGTTCGTCACAAAGGTGGAATAATTATTTTTACCCAAATTTATGGAATGATTTTGACAATGATTTATTCCTAATAGATCTAAATAATAGTATACATTCTCAGATTGTATTGAATAATCATTTGCAAGTGTTTGTTTTGTGTGACTGCTAGAGCATGTGGTGCTACGGTTCTAATCAACTAGGGGACCTACGTCCTTAAAGATACTATGTCCCTTTTGCAGCCAACTTCAAATTCTGTAGAACTTTGCAGGGATTATGAATATGTCATGTGTGTCCTATCTGTGAAATTTCAACGTATGCAAGGAAACTCATTAACTTGCTAGACTTCACTGTCAGACACTGTTGAGTGACTGACTGGATTTTTTTTTTCTTTGGTAATAACATACATAAACTGAGCTGTAAAGGGTACATAAGCACTTGTGTACATCTATAACCCACTTCTTGTAATGGCCAAAATTAAACTGAAGGCATAAAACGTACGACCATTTGGTACAATGATCTGGAAATCAGACTATTACTTACTGGCTATATAGCTCTTAAGTCGATTCGACAACTAATAGTCGTTATTTTCCCACTTAAAGACATTTTCAAGCCCCCTTTTATAGGGGAGTTTTAAATTAGTATTATCTTTCAAATGCCGTTGGAATTTAACTTTTTCATTTTTTTGCCTGCAAATGGGACATATTACCTTTAAGTCATAACAGATAGTAATGAGGAATAATGCCTCACAAAAGTGCACTAATATAGCTGATCGACACGGTTTCTATTCTGGGACCTCACAGTAACGAGGCAATCGCTCAGCCACTGAATCATAGATGACTGTACTCAGCGGGGGCTAGTGTACGTCGCCGCCCCACAAATACAAAAAACAAAGAAAATGCAATAAATTATCAATAATTCATTGATATAAATTCATTGAGGAATAATGCCTCACAAAAGGGCACTAATATAGCTGATCGACACGGTTTCTATTCTGGGGCCTCACAGTAACGAGGCAATCGCTCAGCCACTGAATCATAGATGACTGTACTCAGCGGGGGCTAGGGTACGTCGCCGCCCCTCAAATACAAAAAACAAAGAAAATGCAATAAATTATCAATAATTCATTGCATTTTCCTCCGGTCCCCAACAGCAACAATCCTATGTAGGGCCATGCACTATACGCTTCAAGGCATACCCACATAGAGGATCTTTTTTATGTTCGGGGTCAGGGCAATTGAAGAAGAAGAAGAGAGTGTGGATTGAAGAAGCTGATAGAGTGAAGGAAAAGGAGTTATTATGATTAAGGACTATACAAAGAATGAAAGTGAATGAGAAACAAATTAAATGGTTGAGAGAGAAAGAGGAGAGAGAGAGAGAGATTAAAAAGAAAGAGTGAAGGAGAGAAAGTGTATAATATGGGCGCGAGAACTCGTAACAGATCGTGAACGTGCTTGAAAAAGCGTGACTTCTCGTATCTAGTCGCATTTACTTGCATCTTCTCGTATCAACCTTTATCTGCTTGTGAGTCATTCGTTTCAGGTCGTGAGCATTTGTACCTGACAGAGCGTTACAGATCGTGGCAGATTGCAACACATTTCATCAGAGCGTGGTTCATGGTTGATCCCGATCACCACGATTAGAGAGCACGATTTGATGCCTCGTGTTGCGCTTTGTTAAGATCTAATACGATGTGATGCGATGACCACGATTGACAGTTAATCGTGTTGATCGTGGAGATTTTTTTTACCATCCAAAACTTTCGTACGATCAAAACGATTGCCACGACTAACCTCAAGATCTGATAATATCTGATAGTATCACCACGATTACTCTACGATTAAGACCACGATTTCAATCGTGGCGCCAATCGTGATAGTGGGAACATGGCACTTCTGAGTTTCTCTCTTGTTACCATGTTGTTCTTGGTCTAACTCTTGTTCTTGTCCTATTTGTTTCTGCAATCTTAATATTTTTTTTCTAAATACAGGCTAAAGACCAACAGATCGGTGTATTGTGGAAGTTGCTGTTTGGTACCGCAACCTGTTTGTCCTTGGGTAAGAATGATTTTGACTTCATATATGCGTCATATTTTCATGATATAACGAACGCTACTGACAAAAAGTTGGCTTTCAAAATAACCATACTGAAACAAAATAGGAGCGAGGTGTAAAACGTACGTGGAATCTCAAATAAATAGGCCACAGTTTGGAAAGTTCTCCCTAATAAATGTTCCAAACTATTTTAAGGGAAAATTTCATTTCCTAAGGGAAGGAAGGAGGGAATGAAGCGAGGAGGAAAAGAACAAAGAAGAAGAGAGGGGACGTTTAAGAGGAGTATGTGGACGGGGAGGAGGGGATGAGGAGTACAAAGAAGAGGAGGAACGGGAGAAATGGAATGGAAAAGGGGTGAAGGATGAGGAAGGGGAGGGGGAGGAGGAAGGGTAGGAGGAAGAGGGGGAAGGAAGTTGAGAAGGAGGAGGAGAATGAGGAGGAGGGGAATGAGGGGAAGGAGAAGAAGAAGAAGGAGGAGGGAGAGGAAATAGAGGAGGAGGGTGATGAGGAGGAGGAATAGGAGAGAAAGGGAATGATGATAAAGGGGAGGGGAGAAGGTAGAAGGGAAAGAAGATAGGGTGGAGGAGGGGAGGCGGTCAAAGAAAGGGGAGGATGAGGAAGAGGGAGGGGGAGGTAGAAGGGGAAGAAGATAGGGTGGAGGAGGGGAGGCGGTCAAAGGAAGGGGAGGATGAGGAAGAGGGAGGGGGAGGTAGAAGAGGAGGAACAGCGGGAGGAGGAGGCGAGACGAGGGAGGAAGTTGAGGATTGGGAATTAGGGGAGGGGAGCAGAGAGAGGAGGGAGAGCAGTAGGAGGAAGAGTTCACTATTGATTTTCTTTTTGTACTATTCCACACAGCCTTGCCTGTTTTGTCGGATTCGTCCAAGCTGACGAAAACATCTTGTCCAGGCGAGTTCAGCCTGCAAAGCACCTCGCCGAGGTCCTATAAGTGTGACATGGTGCGACTACCCAATGGCACCATGTTGCAGACTGTCCCCAAACTCTTCTCTCCCCCTGCTGTCATCGCTGGAAAAATACCTGGCCAACATATAATATGCAGAATCCCGGGTAAGTATCATGCTTTCTTGATATTTTTTTTTGTTCTCAAATCTCAAATTCATTTTTTTCCTACACTTATCAATCAATAAAACTACAGATCATACATTTTGAAATGATATTATAAATATCCACTCTCACTATCATTATAACTACTATTACTACTTCAACTACTACTAGAGGTCTCGTACTACTACTTCTACTACAAATACAACTACTACTACTACTTCTAAATACTAATAATAATACTAATACTGTTACTTCTACTATCACTAATACTACTACTAATTCAACTACTAATACTGCTAGTAGTGCTACTACATCTTCTACAACTACTACTGATATAGGTGTACTACTTTTACTGTTATTACTATACTACTAATTCAACAACTTTAGCAAATACTACTACTAATGTTACTACTAAAAGTTACACAACTAAAACAAAAACAACAACAACTACTACTACTACTACTACTACTACTACTGATATTACTGCTAGAAGTCTCACTACTACTTCTACATCTAATGATACTAGTACTAGTACTATTACTACTTCTTCTAATACTACTACTTGTACGACTACACTAGTCAATAACTACACGTACTACAACAATAACAACAATAATAACAACGAATACTACTATTAATACTACTACTACTACTACTACTACTATTACCACCACTACTACTACTACTATACTACTACAACTAAATATACTACAACAACAACAACAACAACTACTACTACTACTAGAGGTTTACTACTCAGTTTACCAAATACAATGTTACTAATTATTATACTGCTTAACATACTATTATAACAACCACTACTACTACTACTAAAGACTGGAGGTCTACAAGTTCTACTACTACTCAGACTGGAGGTCTAAAGGTTCTACTACTACAACTACTTTTACTACTATACTACTAATAATAATCATACTATACTCTAAAAACCGTAAGTCCTATTTTTATCACTTAGAGGGCTATAGCACTCTTTTAGGTGCTTATGTAGCGAATTCACTAGTCCGGAATCTGTCCTTTTTAATTTTGATCCCCACCACACCACCGCAATATGCGCCTTGAGCATTTGACTGTCAAGTGAATTTGGCGCCTTATAAATCATATGTATTATTATTATTATTATTATTATTAAATTAATTAGGACGCCCGGTGAAAAACTTAGGCTGGGATTGGGAGAGTATTATACAGGTGTATGAATATTGGCGGCTTGAATCAATTGTTTGAAATATTATGTGAAGAACCTTTCAAAATTTACAAGTTCATTTTGTAGAAAATATGTATTCGTTTGGTATCACCGTGATACCCACTGGCGTACTGATGGGGGGGGGGGGCAGTCCCCCATACAATTCAAACGTGGTCATTGGATACCAGTGTTTTACAAATGTTGCTGAAATGGCATGATTTTCCGTGCCTTTTCCTCACTTTTTTGTAAATTGTATTTTTTTTGGCATTTGTTGGACAATAGAGTCAAGAGAATTATCGACTACGGACGCAACAACCAAGCCCACTACGAGCCCAACAACCACGATATTCGACACAACGACATATGAAGAAACCCCCACCTCGAGTAAGTAAGATAAACAATGAAACGACGTCATACATTTGATCATTATCACAATGTGTCTAGCTACTTCCCCTTTCCCCCTCTTTTTTCCCCCTCTCTATCTCCCTCTTTTCCTTAAACCCCGGGCCCCTCTCTAATCTCTCTCTCTCTCTCTCTTTCTCTCTCAGTCCTTATTTGACTCTTTTTTTTCTTTGTCCTTTCCTTTAACAGGGGTTTGCTATTTCATAAAACCCTTTTTTAAAGGGGGAACTACTCATTCATTTCTTTTGCACATGAGTTTAATGACAACAAACACGCCACAGGAACGAATTTAGATATATTATTTGACAACAAAGTCCTTTCGGCTTTGACAAAACACCACCAAATCTACACATATGATGACATGCTTTTTATACCTTATAAAAGAAAATAACTATCAAATATTGTGTTTTCAAGCTAAAGCCAAATCTAAACCTATCCCTAAATCGATACTTTTGAAGTCATGAGGCCCAGAGCAATTATCGCCATTCAAGCAGCCGTTGGATTTGGATTGTAGGCGGATCTACGTAACGAATTCGTATGCATATTATGCTTGTAACTTATTGTTTTATCAATATTCCATAGAAATATACACCTTTCGATTTTATTTCACCCTATTAATTAAAATTTAAGTTCCATATTGTTCTCAGCAATTGATGGGGTTTTGTCCAGAGGGTGGTTATCTTGGGTGTATGTCCAGAGGGTAGTCATCTTGGGTGTTTGTCCAGCGGTTAGTCATCTTAGGTGTTTGTCTAGCGGGTAGTCATCTTGGGGGTCTGTCTATAGAGGGTAGTCATCTTGGGTGTTTGTCTTGAGTATTGATTTTGTTTTTTTAAGTGGGCACTGGGCAGTGAGTCTGAAATGTTAGTATATTTAAGTCAAACGGCCTACACTTCAAGCATCGTCATATTTGCAAGTGACTGACACAAGAAATTATAATTTGGTATGTGCACCAATCGTTACATAGGAGTAGATAATATTTATCACAATTAAACATATATTACTTTAGCAAGTTTTTTTTTTTGAAATATTATTCTGTGCCTTTCTTTAGCCACACCTGCATGCCAGGAAGATCCTAAAGGAGTGAACTACAGAGGAAACTTATCTCAGACAATCACCAATCTAACTTGCCAAGCATGGACCTCGCAGGATCCCCATCAACACGATTGGACTCCAGCTAAGTATCCTAACGCGGGACTAGATGAAAACTATTGCAGAAACCCCGATATGGGATTCACTGCTTGGTGTTTCACCACCAATCCTGGGAAAGAATGGGAGTATTGTGCTGTAGGTTCCCTTGACCCGATATGCCAAGGTAGCGTTGTAGTATTTATATTATGAGCAAATTAGCGCTGCTCAAAATTAATTAATATCAAGATACATGCATTCATATCACATGATTTTGCATTGACAGGAGAAAAGAAACGAAAGCTGCTTGTTGGGATTCTTGGAGAGCAATTGAACCTAAAGATTAGAATTTCACTAAATGTGTGAATCACATTTGTGTGTACGTAGGCGGATGTGCGTATATAACATCATATGCATTATAGGTGTTATCGTTCATCAATATATCATACGATTGTACAATTCACTATTCTATTTTATCTACCCTTATTTATCAATATTTAAGTTCCATGTTGTTGTCAGCAATTTCTGGGGTGTTGTCCAGAAGGTAATCATATTGGGTATTTGTCCAGCGGGTAGTCATCTTAGGTGTTTGTCTAGCGGGTAGTCATCGTAGGTATTTGTCCAGCGGGTAGTCATCTTAGGTGTTTGTCAAGACTCTAGAGAGCAGTCATCTTTGTTGAAAGTTTTTTTCCAAGTGGGCACTGCATGGGCAGTGATTCTGACACGCAAATATAATTAAGTCAAATATGGCCTACACTTCAAGTGTCGTGATATTTGTTAGTGAGTGACACAAGAAATTATAATTTGGTCTGTGACACAATTGTTGCATAAGAGTAGATAATGGGTTTTTCGGGGGAAAAGGTGGAGCAAAATATTATTCAGAATCAAACATAATTACCTTAGCAAACTTTTTTGAAATATTACTCTGTGTATTTCTCTAGTCACACCTGTATGCCCGGAAGATCCCAGTGGAGTGAACTACAGAGGAAACTTATCTCAGACAATCGACGGTCGTACTTGTCAAGCGTGGACCTCGCAGGATCCCCATGAACACGCTGAGACTCCAGCTGATTTTCCTAATGCGGGTCTAGACGAAAACTATTGCAGAAACCCCAATGGAGCTGACACTGCTTGGTGTTACACCACCAATCCTGGGATAAGATGGGGGTATTGTGCTGTAGGTTCCCTTGACCCCAGATGCCAAGGTAAGGTAGAAGTGTTTAAAATGTGAGCAAAGAGCTGTTCAAAATTAATTAATATAAAGATATATGCATTCATATCAAATTATTTTACATTGGCAGGAGAAATTAAACGAATTATGCTGTTGTGGTTATTGTATATGCATTCATATCAAATTATTTTACATTGGCAGGAGAAATTAAACGAATTATGCTGTTGTGGTTATTGTAAAGCATTAATTCAAACCTAAAGAGCGAAAGTCCCACTGCACTTAAACTGTTTCCTGAAGGGGTTCACGCACCTATTGGTATGTAATTCGCTTTGTTCGGATGCTTCTACTCCTTCACTCTTAACCAATAATATATTTAGTTCTTTGCTTTGATAGAATAACCTGTCAGCTCTGGTTACATTGACCGTGCCAGTTTTAATGTTAGGGTACCATTTCGTTCACGTTTCATCTAGCTAATTATTTCATTCTATTTTTCCGTGAGCGACAATCCTACTGTTTAAAATATGTAACGATTTGGACTATTTTGTGAGGTAACCTTATCCCGGGAATGGGCTTTCGAGAACAAAGTTGGGAGGCGATGTTAAGTTTCGCTCCTTCTGTCTATTCATATGTATTGGTTGTCTATCATGACTATTCATTTAAACGTACATTACACTGTTCAATTTTATATCCCCTTTGTTATCATTGTTTTCAACAGAAGGAACTCCGATTCCAACTACTATGAGCGTACCCACAACAGCGATACACGTACACTCGGATCCAGTCGCATCTCAAACCCTTGCTGGTAAACATTGATTTTGTCTTTATTGTTGTTGTTGTTGTTGTTGTGTGTTTACTTGCAATTTTGCTTTTAAGAGGGGGCAAATCTCTAGATACGTGTTTAGATGGTTATCATGCTCTCATTTTCACTTTATACATTTGTCAGTACAACATCTTACCTGCATATACTCGAAGAAGACATCACGTGATTGGTTTATTAACCTCATAAACTAAATAACTCAAAGCACAGAAGAAATGTGTTGGTTTCTCAAAGTAATCAACAGTAGGCCTTGACTTCTTTTAATAAAGATATTACTCGAAGACAAACATGTTATAAAATCGCCAAGTTCACTGCCATCAATACAAATATAATTGAATCAACTACATGACGTTGAAAAGGTCTAAATATGCCATTCTTCAGATATACAGAAAACATAAGAGCAACTGTGGGCGCCCTATAATAATGACGCCTTTACGAAGAAAAAAAAAGTTGCGATTCACAGTTTTACCCCAGCTCTGATGAAGTCTCCCAAATGTTATTATGTTGTAGCTGAGACTTTACTCTACACTGATATTATTGTACTATGATTCCATTTTTGATCAGAAGAGAGGATCATGGTCATAATTCCGATGGTGAAGACTGCTAAGTCTATCTGCCATTATGGTTTCTACTTGTACGTGTTATATGAATGGACGGTGGGGTTTATTTTCTTGTAAGTCCCATATTCTCATTGACTCTGTTTTATTAGATGATTGGCCGCGAAGTGTAGTAAGTCTCCTAATTAGCTTGTACATAGGTTTTGGATGTGAATGAGCATCCAAAGAATTTGAGTAGTGTGTTAATGCCGATTAACTTTAGTGTTCATACACATATATCGCCGGTATATTGTTGTTAAACATAATAATGAATTGATGGGTTTTATACATAAGTGTGTACCATTTCAATATTTTACTTTTACACTTCAGAAGGTATAGAATAGGTAGAACAATATAATTATGTTTATGTTATGAATGAACACCTCGTGAAATAGTAGTGTGAAGTGGATACCCATCTTACAACTAGAGTGAGAACAAGCCTGTAGCCAGTTGCAAAGACTTACTGAAGCGAAGTTTAAACACGGCACCCAATTTGTATATAAATGTGAACAGGACCTTTGTTCTAAGAGAGTGTGACGCCTCTGACTGATAACCTACAAATTAATAGTCTCGTAGTCTAGCAAGTAGTCTCTCTCCATCGCCAGTGATAGTAGTCTTGTTAGGCGCAGACCCATTCAGAAGATGTATTTTGCTATGTCATAGAATAGTGAAGTTTAAAGTGAATTCTAATCTGAAAATTAACGATTGCGACACACATTTAATGATTTTGATTACATTGTATTATATTGTATTTTGTAACCGTCATGCTACACTAGAGCAACTGGCTTAGTAATATTAGTCATTTTGGAGAAAGCGACTTGAGTGGTCTGATTTGTAGCACAATTGAGGTTTAGTTTCAGCAAGATGTTTTTATTCAAATAATTGGTATAGAGACCATGGACTTACTAGTTCATGGAGAGACGTTGCTTTTTAGCTAACGCAGTGAAACAAGAGCACAGAGAGCACTTTCTTGCATCAAGGAAATAATTTTGTTCGGGTTTTACTCCAGCTATAGAGTTTATTTTGGAGTTTAAAGGGAACCTAGAGCAAGGGATTATTGCTTTCACTAACTTCTTACTGTCATTTTAGTGGACATTTATACTCATATTTGTTTTTTTTATAAATGTTAAGTCTATTTTCAGATGATTCATAAAACCATTACATGTATCTAATTGTCTCTTGGTTTTGCTTAGAGAACATGAAACTGTTATAGTACAATATACATGTAGTTTTATCTTAACTTATTATGTTTTGCGGATGCACAAGTAATTTGGAATTGCTTGGTTATTGAACGTAAAGAGTATACATAGCAGGATATATTCCATGATAAACCCTTACATGGAAAGATAATTAAGTGCATCATATATTGACATAAATTGCAACGCATATTTTCAGAGATGTGATACTTAACTACTAATTGAATTTGTTGGAACTGCAATTAAACAATATATTACCTGTGATACACTTAGTGATTATTTGAGTTACGTGTTATTGTTGAAGCCAGGAATCGTTAGTTGGAATTAACTAAAATTGTATTTCATCGTATTATATGAACATTAGTTTGAGCTGTTTATCAACTTAGAGATTAGATTAGGCTTTTATATTAGATAAGATCTAGCTCATGCAGATAGATAGGATCTAGCTTCATCGCTTATAAAACTGAAGCATGAAAATGTGTTAACCATCGTCATGTGTGTATTGATTACTTGTAATTATTGCGATGAAATTAAAAGTAATAAAAGTCATTCTACATGCTGACACCAATTTCACCAAAAGCAACTGTTTTATTCTCTTCATTTTATTATTCTGGCTCCCTGATAAGGGCGTTACATTTATGAATACACTTTCTGTAAACATATATTTATATATAAATAGATTCTAACATAATCCAATTACAATTATCCAATTACACGTGTCCAAGCCGGGGATAGGACTTTCACGGTAGCAGCATCCAAAGGGTGGAATAATCTCCCCATGTCCATCAGACAATCTGCCTCTATCGATATTTTTAAGAAGGCTCTGAAAACTCATCTCTTTACATGAATTCTCCTCTATGTTTAATTATTTAATTTAATCAATTGAATTTAATATTTTATATGGAATATCTAATTGTAGCCTTTAATTACTACATGTAGTAAAGACCAATAATATTATTTGATGTTAGCGCTCTGAGCCTTATGGGAATGGCGCCCTAAATGTTCATTGTATTGTATTGTATTGTATAATCAATAGGTGCTCTTGACGTTATGGGTAATTTTTTTTATCACACCCCCTGAAAGTCCAACATCTTTGCCTAGACATTTGAACACGGTTTAAATGATTTCAACAGGCCTATTACAATCATTGTCCCGATCCGATCAGTCTAGTGTGAAGTCAGTGATTAAATAATGTCAATTAATAGCAAATGACACAATTCGTAGATTTTTTTCCTCCACCGTTTTGAGTAAATACATTCAAAGAGCATTTTCTCTATCAAAAGTTGGAATTGTTGACCTTCTTAGGCATGGTGATACGCAAACGTTACCGGTATAAACTTAGACCCCATTCTCACTCACTTTGCTGGACCAATTTAAGCTAAAACGATCCACTGGACCTCTCCAGAGGTACGGTTCGTTTGAGTTTCAGCAGCTTCACACTCATCGTAATGTTTACCCTGATGATCGAGACACATTATTCCATATAAACAGGAACGGTTCCTGTTGATAATGATAGCACACTTCATTTTTTATCATTATCGTTCCCTTCCTTTCCATTCTATCACCTTATCTTTCTATCTTTCCTAATGTTATTCTTTGTTTTTCCTCATTTCATATCTTATGATATTCGTTATTGCTTATCACTCTATCATTTTTTCTTTCTATCTTTCTCATGTTTTTCTTTGTTTTTTCCTTCTATCATTTTTTCTTAATGTTTTCCTTATGTTATTATTTGTTTTCATTCTGTCATCTTCTCTTCTATGTTTCCTTTATCTATTCGTTATCGTTTTTTTCTTTTTGTCTCTCCTTTATGTTAGTCTTTGTGTTTTCTCCTTTCATTTCCTATGTTATTCTTTGTTTTATTATTCTTTCGTTTTTGTTAAATCTTCCTCATTTCTTTCTTTGTTTCGCCTTCTATCATTTCCTCTTAATGTTTTTTTAACCTTTCCGTATCACCGTCACTCTTAACTTTCACATTATTGATTGGATTTCTTATAGTTATTCCAATAACGATGCCGTAGGATTGGTCCATGGACCTACTACATGATTGGACAGGGACAGTGGATGATGCAAGTTAAAACTGTAAGGAATCACCGAGTCCACTGTGTGTCGTTATGGCAGTATACGCTTATGCCCATAATTACCCAAACTGACAGACACGACAACTCTGAAGTACGCTAATCCCATAACATAACTGTCACCATCACTGGACATCCGGTGTACATCAGCTGTAAAGTGTATCGACGGTCGTCTGTCAGCACTTGGAAGTAAATATAGGGAGCCAAATAATGTCGCATTAATTAAGGTTCGGTTATTTTAGATGCTAGCTTTAATATAATACAATCACAGAGTATTGTAAAACGTTCACGCTTTCATCTGAACAATCCATGAACTTGGACTAAGTCAAACAGTTGCGTATATATATATATATATATATATATATATATCGTGTGTCCATTCGGCGGGGGAGGGGAGGGGGGGGTGGACAAAATGCGATGGATGATTGTGTCGATCCATCTTCTTCTCTCTCTCTCTTTGTTTTCTCTCTCACGTTCACTCCCCCTCTCCCTCTTTCTCTCTTTTTTGAGGGGTACCCCCCCCCCCTTCTTGGCGCTACAGTAGGGATGCAGACTCAATCTTTCATTTTTTTTCTGGTGCAGCTTAAGATGTTTAAGTCTAATCATGATAGGTTTCATTTTAGTTGAAAAAGTATGCCGAATTAGCTCATGCCAGAACTGATGACCCTAAAAGTTCTCTGGGATAAAAAAAAAAAAAAAAAAGTTTAAAAAGTAACGTTAAATACCCCCATTAGGATGTCATAGCCTATACCATACATGTATGTCTGTCTCCTCCGCATAAACCCATCATATTTGTGATACCCTGGATGTCTGACACCGTTCATATCGGCCCTCGCACAAGCTGATCAAATTTTAACACATCGGTTGTAGTCTCGTTGGGCTTAACTAAAAACAGCGTCCGTTGCCAGTTAAACACGATGCGTCACTTGCTGACGTAGGACTTTGGTTTTAGCGCATCAAGTGAGAACGTCCGCGTACAATAAGTGAGCGCAAATTGAAAAATGCAAGAAGTTGAATTACTGGTGCATTCGCTGATTGCCTTAATTCCACCACAAACTTTACGATCCGACTACGATCTGATTTTCAAAGAATTTGCAACAGCATTTAATAGGAACATTCAAACCTGTAAAATCTTGATGACAGAGAAAGATATGACATTAGATATATTTCCAATCCAATGACGATTCATGTCATTTTTTCTAAAATAAGATCAAAGGATGATCATGTAGTGTGCAATTGGCTTTAGAAGAAAATGACACAATCGAAATTAATGACACCTCATGTTCAACGGACATAGATTAAGGTCAATGTAGAGTTTGCGATTAAAGACTAACCATCACCCGGCACCGCGCTCCAGGCTCCTCCTACTTTTTTACCAGGCACACCCTCTGATGGATGGCGATGGATTGAGTTTTAATATCTTGTCTATTATATCAGCGAGACAGACAGAGGCATCTTCAAAATGCCATAGTCTGCAAACACAGACCTCACTAACACGATAGCAAACATTTTCGAAATATCAATCTTAAAGGCAATTTAGATAGCTTTGGCCATGACCTTTACAAATGAAAACGAAAACGAATTACTTAAAGATAAACTCAAGTTCTTGTAAAAAAAAAAAAAATAATAATTCTCACAGAATCAAACGAAACTTACACTGAATGTTCAAGATTACACATAAATGACATGTGCCAAACAATTTTTGAAGAAAATGTATACTGGCTGAGTAATGAGCATAGAAAGACAAGGAAATCAAGGTAGTACTAGCCCCGACACCATGTGTGTTGTCCCATATATAGTTTTCTGTGTACAGTGCTTGTTACTTTACCAAGACTCGGCCAAATTTATTATGATTTTGATGACTCCAAAACCTTGCAGTGCACACCAATACGTACATGCTACATGATCAACTGTTTCTGATCCATTCCACTCCTTTTCTTTCACAATGCAATCGCAATACCAGAACTCACCTTTATCTTTAATTCGAACTTGATTTCTATTGGGGTTGTAAGAGAGTGATGAGACTTTCCTAGAACTGATTTTTTTGAAAGTCTCTGCGATCGTGTTATTGCGGCGCTTGGACACAATTCCATGTACCCTTGCGTCTATACAATGCAATGTTTAGGCTAACTTGTCAGTGACTGGCTGTATTAGGAACAGCTTCTTTACATGGAGTCAATGGACAGCAGTTTATGTAGTCTCACATTTCAGACTCTCTGTTATGCCTATTGCTCACGAGGTTTCATTTGCTTGACGCAGGGTTGCGTCAATGACTGACACATTCTTTTACGCATCAAATGAGAGTAACATTGTACATAAATTGAATTACAAATGAACTGAGCAAACATTATCTTGAATTATTAGCGTATGCACTATATGCTTTCACAGGCTTGATAATCGCAGGTAGTGACGCAATCGCAATAACGCCTCGTGCGCAGAGGGCATCATTCACACGTCAATAATGACAAGGGTTTGCGTCTGCAGACTAGGCATGTAAAGCCTCGTGCTGTTTATTGTGCCTAGCGAGACAGAGGCGTACGGGGGTACCGCTGGAAGGTACATAGCTCTGGGTGACGGTGATGCGAGATGGATGTTGCGGAAAGCATCTCACTGTCTGTCACTTTATACCAGAACTGAAACAGCATCTTTATTGAAGGCATCCATCCATCCAGGCACTGGGCCACCCGATAACGTGAGTATGAATTGCATGTCAGCTACTAGACGCCGTGGAATTAATGTGCAAGAGGGTGAGGTGTTTAAATTCATCACTCTCTCCTCAATGCGAAACTTTGTTTTTTTTAGAAGTTTAAGATTGATAGTGATTTTACCAGCGTCCATGTTAACGTAAACTGTAAGCGTTAACAAACTTGGTCATTGTCTATTCTCTTCGTTCGATATTTGCTGTATAGGTGTATGTATCCGTGAGTATAACCTTTCCTATTTCTTTTTGTCATCCGCCTCCATCCTAGTCGCATAATCACTAACAATTGGGAATAGCATCATACTCTCATCTGCCATGTTTATTATGATCATCCCCATCTCTCTCTCTCTCTCTCTCTCTGCCTGTCTGCCCGCCTTTGTTGCCGTCTGCCTCTGAAGTTCGTACATCGAACAAACTGTTTCCAATTGTCAGATTGCAAATCAAGTATATCATTATAGCAGCACTCTCTCAAGTTAAAGCGAGATGACTTGCTACAGCTGTTTTTACTTTTTGTGCTCGGCAGAGAGAGAGAGAGAGAGCGAGTGAGACAGAGAGAGAGAAAGAGAGATGGAGACAGAGAAAGACATTAGTACTCATACAAAGCTAAATAACTGAGGAATTGCAAGCTTGCATTAGAAATAATAATAATGCAGGCGAGTTCCACGAGTTAAGTGTCTTGATAATTATTATTTGATACTTGTGTTAATGTTATCTGACGAGTCACTTACAGATGCATTTTGCCTCGTTAACGCCTTCTCTTTGCTCAGGTACAA